GTCGTGAATCCACAAGCATTTTATTGTACTGACATTTTGTTTGTTTGTACTCATCCTTTTATTAATTACTATTAAACTGGGAATAAGCCACAATTAAAGATAAAAATACGTTTATTGACGTTTCAATTTCCACTTCGGAAATCGTTCTCAAAATAAAAACAGTAAATTGAAATTTAAGTGGAAATTGAAACGTCAATAAACGTATTTTTATCTTTAATTGTGGCTTATTCCCAGTTTAATAGTAATTAATTTACAATGCCACAAGAAAATAACTTCAGAACAATCATCCTTTTATGTTTATTTATATTTTTTTCTGGAAAGCATTGGTCAAATAACAAAGAAATGATTTTCATAAATACAACCCATTGCTTTTCTATATCCCAATTTGGTACTGAAAAAAGCTCCTCCCAGTCTTCATCTTGCAGCATTTGCCTAAAATTTTCATTACTTTGTGTAATCAAAAATTCTTTTCCTAATTTTTTGTTTACATTAATACTGAAAGTTATTTTTTTGACCAAGATGATCAGAAATATGTAGCTCTTTGTAGCTCTACATATGCGAGTGTATTCAGAAATTGATAAACTATATATTAAATGTTTGTAATAAATAGAGAAAGTCTGCTCTATCTTTAGTTTGACTCCTCAAATCTATATTAAAATCACCTGCAATAAAAACTAGAGAGCTGTCACCTGAAATATACATTAAAACATTTTCTAGAATATCTAAAAATTCCTACACACAAGACTTTAGAGTATGATATATACAAAAGAATTAAAATTTTGCAATTTAAAAAACACACTTCTACACATGAACATTCAAAAACATATGTTTTTGCGTTAGCACTTACATCTTTTCTTATCGTCCATGATAAGCTTTCTTTTATATAGATTGCTGTGCCCCATAGATAGATAGATAGATAGATAGATAGTTTATTTGACTGTAAGTTACAACTAGGTTTACAGCAAGTCAAAACTAAAATTATAAATATTAAATAGTACAAAAAATGAAAACAATACACTAAAAATATTTAAAACATTAAAAAACGTACAATACAGACATATAATTAAAATATTAATAAATTTGGATATGTTGCAGCTTAGGCATTCACAGATACACCCTCGTAATATTCACCTAATGTATAAGGACACATGGTTACTAGGTACTCTTTGATTTGGTTTTTAAAAGCTGTAGTTGAATTAATGTTTTTAAATTTTTGAGGAAGTTGATTATACAGTAGTAAACCATAGATAGTAGATGACTTCCTGATTATTTCTAAATGTCGATAGGGTACTACAAACTGTCTCTTACTTCTTGTGTTGTGTGAGTGAATATCACTGTTACACAAAAAAGTTCAATAATTCCAAAATGTAAATTCCATACACTGTTAATATATTCAAATCTCTAAATAGGTTTTTACAAGACCAACCATACGGAACACCTGCTATACATCTGACAATACGCTTTTGGGCCTTGAAAACGTCCTTTACACTAGAAGAACCACCCCAGACAGTTTACCGTAACTTATTGTCAATTGTACCTCAGCAAAATAAAAAAGACGAAGGTGTTGCAGACTAAGTATTCTACCCAAATTTCTCAATTGATAACATTTAGAATTGAGTTTTTTACATACATTCCAACAATGAGTCTTAAAAGATAAATGAGAGTCGAAAGTCACTCCTAAAAACCTCACATCACTACAACTCAAAATATTTGAACGTGATGTAAATGATAAAAATTTAGTTTTGTGAACATTGAACAGGAGCGACTGATTACTGGACCAATCAGAGAAGGTCTTCAGTGAGTTTGTTATTTTATCTTGCAAAAAATTTATATCTTTATCGCGATATAGCATTGTTGAGTCATCCGCATAAACTGATACAAATGCATCAGGCATTACATGTGGTAGTTCATTAATATACAAAATAAATAATATAGGGCCCAATATTGAGCCCTGTGGTACTCCATTCTTATTAATAATCGGATCAGACATTGAAATCTTAAAGTTATTTTTCACTTTAACTATTTGGTACCAGTCTTTCAGATAGGAACCAAACCAATTATGGGCAACTCCCCTAACACCATATCTGTACAATCTATCGAGGAGCACATCGTGTTGCACACAATCAAATGCACGACTGAGATCACAAAAAATGGCAGTTGGATTTTCACTGTTCTCAATTGAGAGTAAGACTTCCTCATAAAAACTGTTAATGGCTGTGGAAGTAGAAAATTTATTTCGAAATCCATGTTGATGCTTTGTGATAATTTGGTTGATGTCTAAAAATAATAAAAGTTGTTTTAGCATTGCATATTCAATAATCTTTGACGTTAATTCAGGATCACCTTGTTTTAATACCGGTGAAATGATAGAAGTTTTCAGCATATTGGGAAAAACATCAGTATTGAAAGAAGCATTTATAATATGAGCCAGTGGTGTCAAAATTTGAGACGCATTTTTCTTAATTACTATACCTGATATTTCATCAAAACCACACGATGCTTTGTTTTTAATTTTATATTTTATTATATCTAAGACATCTTCCTCTGTTACATAAGATAGGAACAAACTACTTTGAACAAAATCATTGGAATGCTGAAAATTTAAATTTGGTTTAATTATTTTACTAATTATATCCACTGGTGCATCTATAAAGTAATCATTAAATTTGTTTGATATTATATCTGAATCTGTAATCCTAGTATCATCTATTTTTAGACAGATATTTTTGTGATTTTTTTGTTTTCCGTTAAGTTCATTTATAACAGCCCATGTGGTTTTGTTTTTGTTAGAGGATTCAGAGATTTTGTTAAAATAAAACTGACCCTTTGTGGCCTCAACAAGAATTTTGTGCTGATATTTTTTTTGTTTATGTAGAGTTTTTAGCTCAGGGTAAGTCTTACTCAATATATACAAATCCTTCAGACTATCTGAAGAAGATTTTACTTCTTGGGTGACCCGTGTATTTTTTTTGTTTTGGTAATGTTTGGTTTCTCTAATAGGACAACTAATATTGAAATAGAACTGTAATTTGTCATGAAAGGCATTATATTTACTCTCAACATCAGTTGCATGATAAACATCTTGCCACATTTCTTTACTCAAGAGATTGTTGAATGCATCTATAGCGCCTTCATGTGTTACTCTGAAAGTATTTCGAACTGTTGTCATAGTTGGATTAATAAAATTCAATCTTAAAAGGAATATATCGTGATCCGATTCAGTATTTACATTTACAGTACCTACACAATCATCACAATTTGTATATACCTGATCCAAAATATTTTCGCATCTGGAAGTCGACCTTGTAGGTGTAAAGTTCCTGGGTGACAAACCATAAGATGCTAGAAGACCAGAAAATCTGTGTGAATTATTTAATGTCATGGAATTTACATTAAAATCGCCTGTCAAAAATATGAATTGATTCGGTTTAAAATTTGAATTTAAAATAAGGTTAAGTTTTTCATAAAATACATCAAATTTACCTTTAGGAGATCTGTAGCAAACTAAAATTGTGTGTTGATTTGAATTATAATGCCACTTCAGCCCACATACCTCAATGTCTTTTTCAACACAGTACTGATCGAGTAAAATGGAATTAACCTTCATATCATCCCTTGCCCAAACTGCAACGCCACCACATTTATATTGGGATCTACTAAAACAATTTACAATTTTAAAATTTGGAAAATTATAATGAATCACCTCGTCATTGGCTGACCACGTCTCAGTCATACAAAGAAATTTCAAATCAGACTCCTTATAATCAGCAAATAAACAATCCATTTTAAATTGATTTAGTCCCTGAATATTTGACAGTAGGAGATCGTACTCATCCCTTCCTTTTTTCTGTTTAAAAGTCAATTCTTCTTCATACTTCACTTTATTTGCGTATGTGTTGAGCGCTTCATAAAAAACCTACTTACATAAGAGCCTACTGGCCATAGTTTTGGGTCCATCGCTTTACCGAAATTTTGTTCAAAAATTGAAACTTTAAAAGATGAATATATGTTGGGATGCTTAGCTGTTAACGACGTACATATTACTTCTGGAAAGTGTTTTTCTAACATCTTCTTAAGATTTTCTGCCGTTGTATGTTGGTCTACTCTAGTAACATGGAGATGACTAAATTTTGGGACACCACTGATTTCTGAGTTCTCATTATTACCCATAACAAAACGTCCATTCCTTTTTTTGTGTCTAACCATTTTCCATTCTTACCCACTATTATTTGTAGCTGAATTTATATTCTCAATATTTATCAAATTTTCATTGTTTGTTAAATTAATAATATCTGAACATTTCGTTTCGTAAGCTTCCGTTTGTATTTTTAAAATATCAGCTGATAAGTGTTTATTATTTTCGATTAAGGAAACAACTTGTTTATTTTTATTGGTAACATTTTTAAAGACAGTTTTTGTTGGGGAACTCCTTTCTTTATCAACAGCTAGACTTTCATTAACAGCAATATTTTTTGCGGGTGTAGTTTTTTTTTGTTTTTTGGGTATTCTTTACTGCTAGACTGTATCGGTCGTTCAAAATTGAGGTTTCTGTTAGAATTGTTTATTAAATTCATATTTTGTTGAGTAGATGGCGACTGGTCAGTTAATTGCATATATTTAAATAAATCTAGTTGTTCTTTTAGTAAATTTATCGTTATTTGTTGATTTGATATTACAATATCATTCTGATTAATAATTTTCTTTAAGCACCTGATTTCAGTTATCCTCGGATCCTCATCGTCAGCCTCTTTATCCAAGATTTCGTTTGATGGATCACTTAACCTAACACTTTCATCACAGCATATAACTGTTTCTTCGTCGATATATTTAATACATTTTAATTGCTGTTGCCATGTTGGCCTTCATCTTTACAGAAAGCAGAAACCAATTTGAAACCCATAAAATTGTGCTTTTGTAATTGGGTATTGGATTTTCAATGTTCACTTAAACAAACTGCGATGCACTCTTTATGTTGTAAGATTTCTTCTTGGATTGTATCCATGACAGACGCTGACGTTCCATATGGAGATGGCACTCTAAGAAGATCGAGCCTCGTTTGTGTCAAGACCTTACTTACGTTACTTAAACAATTATTTAAATTGTTTCCTCACTTTGCATGTCATGATGCTTGCTGGACCATCTTCGGTTTGTAGTGAGCTTGCTTGTTTGCATGCTTATTTGTCTATTCCTTTCCTGTCCCTCGTGAAGCTACTGAATGGATGACTCCTACTTTCAGAACTCTACATATCAGGAGAGGGTTAATGAAATCTGGGAAAAAGAAAACATAATGCAACATTAGAGTACAAAGTAGGTGTGGCTGCATATTAAGTGATTTATTAAACACCGCCTCATAAATATTCATCAGGATTCTAACTATAATTTTATTCTACTTTTCAGGAATCTTCCATACGCGCTCTACAAATCACTAATGGTCGTGTAGATATTGCTCTCGATTACCTTAACAAACAATCAATCGATCCGTCCATGGGCCAAAAGACAACTTCTCCAAGCTATACGAAGCTTATCCGCAAACAGAGCATAGAACGGGAGCTAGGACTACCGAGAGGCAGTCCCGCTTTGGACAGTGGCGCCGGTAGTTCCCGTTCAGATAGTCCTCGACTCATAGCCGATTTGCATAGCCGGTATTCGCCGAGTTTCAATGAACCTCCGCCACCTCCTCCGCCTAGGAACACACCGCCACCTCCACCACCCCACGTCGGTAGCGGACCGGGTGCCTATCAAGCTCCACCAGTGCCCAGTAATGTTCAACAGATGTTTAAACGCATGTCGCCAGCACCAGTGGTACCGGCGAGAACTCAGACTGTTGGTCAAGGGTACAATTCTCCGGCACTACAACAGGTATGTAGATTATAGTCTCAGATACAAAATCATTACGTTCATAACATAGTTAATCAAACTCACATTTTTACATACATTTATTAATAGGAGAATACATTGATAACAATTAATAATTATTCATTTTTGAGAAAAATTGTATTTCATTCACTTATTTTTTATATATAATACTCTGCTCATGACGTATATGTATGTTTTTTATATCAAATTAAAGCTATATATTTTTTAATATGATGCTATAAGGTTGCCTTTGAAAAAAATGGTCGCCAATTATGGTTGTCAGCTGTTAAAAACGCGAGGTATCAAAGATAAAGTAAAATAGAGTAAGCGTGCAACGACACTGGTTTGACAATTGATAATATGTACAGATATATACACATATATCTATCAATGCATGCTTTAAAAACTCACACTGCGCTGACATGTCATGTCAATATCTATCGATGATTGGATTCTTATTCTTGGAAGGGATATCGCGCAGCGAAATCAAAGAGTGCTTTGATGCTGTATATAGTGACTATTTTCCTTCCATTAAGACTGTCAAAAATGGGTTTAACTATATAACTACTAAATAAGTATCAACCTTTTTCTGAGTCGGTTTTTGAATAGCCCCTTCCATGTGCCCCAAAAACGGCTACAACGTGAGAAAAATCCACGATCTTGTACTTGCAGATCGCCGATGGAAGTGGCGCGAGATAACTGAGCCAGTAGGCAACTCAAAAGACAGCATTAGTCACGTTTCAAGGATCGCAGCTGCATGAAATTTTGGACTTAATGAAAAATCCTAACATGTTTTCTAAATACTTTTTTCTACAGAAATCCGAACGTAAAACACCCACTAAATACTTATGGGATGATGAACGTTTGCTAATTTATTTATTCTATGTTTACTTATCTATTTCAGCGAGGTACCAGCCCCGTAAGCAGTGTTTCCACCTCATCAGGTCGACAACCGATGGTAGTCCAAAACGGTCCCCAGGTGCAGCAACAACTTTCCCAACAAATGCAAGCACTAAGCTTATATCAGAGTAGTACTGCGTCGACATCTGAACCTCCTCCACCTTATCCGTTGATATCATCGAGTCCTGCCAATGGTCCCCCTCCACCTCCTTCCTATTCTGCTTCAATACAAAATAGGCAAAGCCCCACGCAGGATTTTAGGAAAAGTCCATCGTCTGGAATCTATTCGGGATCAACTTCAGCCGGCTCACCTAGTCCTATACCGGTATGTGCAATAATTTAATATATTTTTACATTAAAAAAATTTATTGATTTCTTAGAAATGTAAATACATACATCAAAAATATCTAAGGAACACCACTATTAATCTACTTTTTTTAATAAAAACTTTTTGTTAATGTATACCATCAATTTGAAAACTTGTTCTCTACAAATTAATGTATTGGCGACGTGCAAGTACTTGGAGGGGATACGAGAAACGATCGTGCGCGAGTAGCGGAGAAATTTTGCATTTTTTAGTGCACATTTTATTGATTTCATAAATTCATATTGTCAATTGTCATATTTCATATTCGTTTTGTTTATTTACATTTACACCTTCTGTCTCTAAAGAAAATGGGATTTAGGAAATGCTGTGTTATAAATTATAAAAATACAACAAAAAATTGTCAATTTAAGTTTTATTCGTTACCAACTTCGAAGCACAAAACTACTACAAAGAGAAAAGTGGATTTATATAATAAAAAACCATAAGTAACATAACCCAAATTATGCATTATTCTTGCGCCCGATTTTAAAGTCAGTTTGAAATAAATAATAAATAAAAGTTCACTTTTAAGTGTAAATTTTAGTTTTATAACACTCACTTAGAGTTCATTTTAACCCAAAAATCAAGTTTAATGTTTAAATTTTATTTTTTTGAAGTTTACAAGAATGCATCAAGTTCAAGTTTTTCTAAAGATGCATTAAGATATATTCGCTGTCCAAAAGTTTACAGGGAAATAATTAATTGTTCAAACCAATATGATGATATCATGGGCTTAGCCTGCTAATTTATGCATTAGCATTATTTATGGTAATTTATTTTTCTTAATTCTTCCATTATTTTTTGACATTTGCCACTACTAAAGCTTTTCCATTTGACTCAGTACTTGGTTGAAAAATTATTTGGTGATTTACTTTCTCAAATCCAGTTTTTATTATTGCATCCATATTAACAGTAATGCTGTAATTTAATAATATATTTATTTGTATTTACACTACATACAACGATACAACGTTTACCTTTTAATAACATACCGACATAACCTCAATCTTACTTTTTCTTCTTATTATTTTTTGGGGCTACGTCCTTGAGAATTATCCGGTAACCTCGATCTAACATGAAAACGCAGTAAATTTTGCTGATTTACGACACCAGGTGTCGCTGTTCCGAACTTGCACGGTCCCAATACCATGTAAATTAATCTGTTAATTACATTATTTTATTAAGGGAAGTGGCAGCTCCTCAAATTCATATAATTAATTACTTCAAATTGTGTAGAAAAAGTGCTTCAAGTTTTATAGATAGTCTAGTCTGTACCTATTTACTTCAAAATATTATTAAAACAAGATTATTAAATACAACAATATTCATGGAGCGTCGGCATCTAATATTCAAATAGTAACTGCTGTAAATATGTCTCTGAAAGACATGGAGTTCGGTAACATGCAACTACTCCTCGACAGGATCGGTATGTGGTAGGATGAGTTCACCAAAATGTGCATATAACTGCACATGTACTCTGTGGGGCCTTACAAAATACAAACAACATTACCGTATCTGACTAAACTTTAATGAATATATTACATGAAGCTGGCCTGCACTCCAGACGTCCATTGAGGGTTCCCATGTTACGCCATGGAAATCGTGGACTCAGATTAAGGTGAGCACAACATGTCCATTGGAGCTTACAAAAATGGAGTTCTGTTATTCACAGATGAAGTTTTGTCTTTACCCTAATACAAGAAGAGTGAGAATTTGGGGAAGACCTGGTCAACAACATAGACTCTGGCATGTACAGGGTGTTCATCCATATACACTTCATCTAATTTATATAACGATGCACGTCATCGGCGTCATAGCCTGTGACGTCATATGATACCAACACGAAATATTTAGGGTTTAGGTGTGTTCTTTTTAGAATCACTTTACCGAGTACACTGGCATTACAGCCACTAGACATATTTTATTATATACGCGTTGAAATAATATTTAAAAATTTCTATTAATGTTAACTTAAAGAAATACACAATAATATGTTTCATTTAATTTGTATAAATCCATTATAAAGAGTTTTTATCAAGAACATTTGTTCGGAACACACTGTAACTGTAATCGAACGAAGGTAAAATTTTGGCATAAATTGGTAGCACTTATTTGACAGTTGCGGTGTTGACACTTTTTATACTTTATTATTTTAAATTTTAAAGTGAATACCTCTTGTTTTATATTTTTACCTATTTAATAAAATCTGTTCTTTTTAGAACAAAATTAGTGTGTTTTATTTCAAAAATGTCACGTAAGAATTTAAATAGTCATTGTAAAGAGATGGTAATACTTTTGCAATAATTATGTGACCAATTTGATTTAAAATGAAGTCAGGATTTTTTTATACTTTGGCAACTATGTCAACTTCGATCTCTGACGTAGATAATGGCGTAAGTCGTTATCTAAATTAGATGAAGTATAGTGGTCTACAAGTTATGATGTGGGTTGGAATAATTTTTATCCTCGAACTTCCGTTTTGTGGAAGGCACTTTGAATTAATATTAATATATTGCAAAAAATTTTTGTTTAAAATCCTTTATAAAAGGTATATAAAAATGCCTCAAACGGGCTATCACAAACACATTGCAAAACGTTTTCGGATTAAACAATCCATCATCAGTGCAAACGGTTGTACATGCTAGTAGCCACAAAAATATATGGGTAACAACCCTTTAAATGTTTTAAATCTGAAGTTGTTTTACATTATTAGTATTTATAATTTGTGATGGTTAAGTTACCGTTGGATAGGTAACATGGCGGCGTATGACTCTACATGAGGTAAATGGTCCTGAGACTCAACACTTTACTCATGTAGAGTCATACGCCGCCATGTTACCTATCCAACGGTAACTTAACCATCAGAAATTATAAATACTAATAATGTAAAACAACTTCAAATTTAAAACATTTAAAGGGTTTTTACCCATATATTTTGGTGGCTACTAGTATGTACAGCCGTTTGCACTGATGATGGATTGTTTAATCCGGAAACGTTTTGCAATGTGTTTGTGATAGCCCGTTTGAGGCATTTTTATATACCTTTTATAAAGGATTTTAAACAAAATTTTTTTGTGATATATGGTATACAGCCAGCCACAGGAACTTAGTTTCCTCGTGGAATTAATATATTGATTGCATCTTAGAATGGCTTGCCTAGTTCAAACCAAACCCTTCTTTCAGTGCGTCATTAATTTTGACGTCATATATGATTTTAAGAATGTCGCAAATCATTGCATGACGTTTTAGTTAAATCTGACAGTTGACAGAATCGTAATCAGCGAAATATCAAAATGTTATTGCTTCTAACACCTTTATTACAATTTGGAATAAAAACAAATCAATAGTGTTTATTGTATTTATAAAATGTTCTGTTCTTTGATTTGTACTGGGGGTCTCTAAAATTAAGGATGGACTGTGCAGCAGATATTTTTTTATATAAAGTATTACACAATTGGACATATTGTCCAGGTACAGTCGACTCACGTTAATTCAAACTTGCGATAATTCGAACATCTATAATTCAATTATCACAAAAGTTCCCACAAAATCTCTTTATATTTCGAACTAAATCAATACATTTTTATGCACTTGGTAATTCGAACGAAAAAATCATTGCTATATAACAAAACGACGCGTTAATTCGAACTCGACGATGTCAAACACTCGACAATTCAAAGTTGCAGAGAGAAAGAGGCGGAAAGATTGTATGTATCAACGCGCCTTTGTTTTTCTTATGATTAACTTGACTACATATTTGACACACACTTCTTACAAATTTCCTCGTCTGTAAGAAAGTCTGATCATTTGGCTAAGACAGTGTAGAGGACAAAAAGTGTCTATTAGCGGAAACTTGTTGAAGGAAAAAGCAAAAGAGTTCGCGTCTACTCTAAGCATCAAAAACTTTGTGGCAAGTGAAGGGTGGCTTACAAATTTCAAAAAGAGAAATAGTGTTTAAAAAAGTTTGTGGGGAAAGTGGAAGTGTTGATGCAATTTGCTTAGATTAGCACGTTAAATTGAACACCTTGGTTTAAAACTATGACGCCCGAGACATTTTTAATACTGATGAAACTGGCCTATTTTTCAAATGTTAACCGGACAAGACGCTTACTTTTAAAGATGAAAAATGTTATATCATGGGGAAAACATAGTAAAGAGAGGCTGACTGTTTTACTTGTAGTAAATATGGACGGATCAGAAAAACTTAAACCCTTAATGATAGGAAAAGCAATGAAACCGCTATGTTTCAAAGGCGTGAAATCGTTTTCTACTTATTATTGTGCTAACAAAAAAACTTGGATGACGACAGAGATTTTTAACAATTGGATTTTAACAGCTAATGGGGACATGAAACGGCAAAAGCGGAAAATTTGATTATTTTTAGACAATTGCACTATCCATAACAGTCCTCTTACATTGTCTACTTCTTTCCGCCAAATGCAACTTCCAAATTGCAACCATTGGACCAAGAGATAATCCATAATTTTAAGACGTTCTATCACAAAGAAATTTTTATATTCGTTTTAGAATCTCTCGACAAGGAGCTAACTGGAAATATCACGGATCTTACGGTTATTTTACTGACTGACAAAGCATGGAGAGGTATAACACCCCTAACAATTCTCAACTGCTTCAAAAAATCTGGTTTCTTAAAAGAAGATCAGGAAAATCTTCCAATACTTATGGATGATGAAGAACCAGCAATAGAACCATTAGTTGACATCATCGGTGTGAGCTTTTCTGACTTTGTTCAAGTAGATGAAGATGTTCACTAGGTTCACTAACCGATGGCGAAATTTTATCTGCGACAGATACGATAATAATGAAGATGAGTACGATACATTAGAACCATAGAGAAATAACAAATAAGAGAGTGCTTGGTTGCATACATAAAACTGGCACACTCAATGCTAGCGACCTGATGAACTACTTACTCAACTAAACGGCCAGAAAATGGAACGCGGGATATTTAAAAT